CCACGAATCGAGCGGGGCGGCGCAATCAAAAGCGTATCAGACAAATGGGCGGCCAGCGTCGATTCAGCGGCGCCTCTCATTGGCCAGTCGCAGGGTTGTGAGGTATAAAGGGCCTTGATACAACTCTCGATAAGCTGTAGGCGTCGAATGTCGATTCAATCGATTATAGCCCGTATTGTGGCTAGCGAATGCGACCGGATAGGCCGTTAATACACTCGAACATCTTGCTACTTCGGCCGTTTAACTTTCATTATTCACGCTCTGTTGCATTCACTTGTTATAAACATTTGTAATTGGCAATTTACATCAACAGTTTTACCTCAAAATTTATAGTAGTCGTAAAAATATTTGAATTTCTGGTGATAAAAAACGGTTTGCAAATCAAGGTTACAAGGAGCAACATTTTAAACGGATTAACTGACTAATCGTATGTTATTTACAATCCTTAATCAGACCGGGGGCGTTGGTTACAGGATTTACGATACCTGCGAGTTAGTTACACAAAAGAATTAACCCTTCTAAGCGACATCGAGTGCTAATAAAATATCGAGTTTGGTGCGAATAATCGTCTGCGATGCAACACTGTATTGCGGTATTGCTAAAGAATCATTCTATACAAAGTTCCATAAAGCACGCGTACGTCCATAAAGTGAAATTTAGCATAAGGTTTCGTAGGAAAAGCAATAATTTGTCACAATTGGGCACGATTAGATTGGCTCTGCCGGCGATTTGACATACGTCGTAAATTACATATTGACCGGCTATATCGAGATGGCTGTCAGGCCTGCAATGCTGGCTCGGTTGTGTGGCCTCCTGCAAACGGTTGGGTTATGCAAATAGCGTGTGCAGGCGGCTAAGCGCACGCGCATCGAATCGCGCGTTTTCCGCCGCCGGCGCGGGGATTGCGTTTTGTGGAAATCGTTATTGGGGTGATTGCTTTCATAAACAATAGCTTTTGTCCACGGTTACTTGTAACTAACTTGTTATTTTGTCGAATAGCGGGACTTTAAGCGTACTTCGTGTCAGATAGCTAGGTTTGCGTTTATGCAATTTAGCTTTGTAATGTGGTGGAAGTCGTGCTTTATCTGCACCATGTTAAATAGCATGTAATAAATTTACGCTTTATTCAGGTACCCTGATACGGTTCTATAGTGCTCTCAATTTTGTATACGTTAATACTACACACTTAGGTATTTATTTTGTGGACACATGATGATGCGTATACCTATGATTATAGATATATATTTATCAAAACTAATCAATTAAAAGTATTTTGCTTAATCAATTTCCTAAAAATATAGACTACAAGTTGGTACCTACTGATTTCCTATATTCCTAGGTACCTAATTTGTATTAAAAGAAAACATGACTAACATTTATTTACTTAAATTTTGGTAATTTTAATTGAATTTTAACTGCATCCAATTACAAATTGTCATAAGTACCTATCTAATTATGTAAATAAATAAATACATTATTCATACATGGTAAAGGTTATGCCAGAAATGGCATGTGATGGCAATAAACACTCTATTTGTGACTACAGCTAGACAAATTGATTAACGACAATGATTTGAATACCATTAGAAGGTCATTACATTTGGGTTACCTATTGTACACACTGAAAAAATATAAATATATTATTAAAATTGTTAAGTTTTCTATTTAGGAAAAAATTTAATGTAGGGCTAAAATGAAATTACATCAATAATTATTTCATATCTCATTTATTCATAAATTTACTGGTTACCTAATTGAATGAATTTCTACACATTAAAATGTATTTATCAGTTTATGGTATCACGTGTTTCATTATCCAATGTACTGTGAGCTCTGTAGTATAATAATTGACACTATTATAAACTCTGTAATTATTAATTGTGCATGTAGAAAATTACATCCAGAGACCAAGCTAATTTGGCTCAAAATGCCATAAAAGATTGCTTCACAAAGCAACATAGTAAGGGTATTAAAGGTTGCCTGTCATCGGACGAACAAAGTGGGTGGTGAGTTCAGAATGACTTTACATGTAATGTACCTACCTAGACTACAGAATTGGCATAATATTAGTTTATCTATATATCATATTTGTAAGAAGAATAAAATACAATGACTATTACCGGATGATACTTTCGAATATAAGTATAGGTATATATAATAAATATAGGTAATAACCCTGGATAATTCATATAACGTCATTTAGTCCCAAGCTAAGCAAACTTTGTGTTATGGGCAGGTACTAAACAACTGTCTGTGTATGTATGTAGGTATGTATTTACTAAAACAAAATATCGAAGTATTTTTATCAGTTGTCTAGTACTCATAACACAAGCTCTGCTTACCATGTGTCTAGATGGCGCTGTGTTAATTATCCAGAGTTATTTCTTCATTATTATTTATTACTAGCTGTGCTCGCGGTTTCACCCGCATTAAATTTCAATATCAAATATAGCCTATGTGTTATTCTGATGCATAAGCTATATCACTGTAAAGTTTGATCAAAATCCGTTCAGTAGTTTTTACGTGAAAGAGTAACAAACAAACTTCGTTTATAATTATTCGTATATATTATTATGATTAACGTGTAATGTATTTTGCCTGCGTGCTACAGTCCATAATTATTATGGAACTTCAAATTGTTTGTCTTCTGTCTATAAGGTGATAGAAAATTTATGGCTATGCAATATTTCAGCTTGCTGCCTCGTTTTATTTGCTCCAATTCTGACGCATCATGTTTCTGTTTTCCTTTTAACATAAACGCGGCAATTAATCTCTGAACGGGTGACGTTGTACCCCCCACCGCCTTGTTCAGCCCTCTACCCCTGCCCCCTCGGCCCAGATAACCAGGGAATGATTAACTACAGACAGGAAGACGGATTGACAAATAGTCGTTTAGGTATTCGCTAATGCCTCGTTCTCATCAATAAACGATCGACGATGCCGATGGTTTGTTCTCGTTTAGCGTACAATTGATTGTTTATTTGTTGCTCATTCTTGTTTCCATTTACGAAACAAATATCTGAAGTACCTAGTTGTAATTATTTATTTATTTAGCTTTACTTTCTATTATTTTATTACGTATTATTTGTGTATGGGGCTGTATGAATAGATATTAAGGCAGATCAAGCACGAGAGTAAATAAGAGCAAAGTATTGACGCCAATATTTTACTGTGACTAATATCAGGTGTAATCAAATTAAAAGCACAAAAATTGAGTGCGTAGCGGTTTGTATGTTGATAGTTACATGACTAATCCTTATTAATGTGTATTTACATAAAACACACATTTATATAATAGAGGCACTCGTAAATTTATTGCATTTTTCTTGTGATGAGTCTACGTTCCGAATAAGTGGTAGAATAAAAAATATAACTATTATAATAATATGACTTATATCAAGTTTATTTCAATAAAGATTATTAGTATTTCTATATAATAATTGTAAATAACATACACAATAAAATAATTATACAAAATAGATTTAAACGATTTATTGCCTTCTAAAATTAGTATCGAACGGCAGATAAGCGCTCATCACTCCGTAATATAAGTTTAAACAACAAATTACAGTAAATCAACACCACACCACAAACAATCCGCTAAGTTGCGATGTCTTCCGCGACGGCCACACGGGCCGCGCTAAATCTGGGACGGTAACGCTGCGTGCGCGTCGTAAACGCGCAATCTAAGGTTTAACGCTCACTGAAACGACACGCCGCCAGGTCTTATACTACGTTTTTACAACATACATGTGAGGTCGACAATGCCTTTGACTATACCATTTGGGATAATAGTTCTGAAGTTATGTTATGTTTCATTATTTGATGAGTGTTATGAATGGCAAAGCGTACCTGATTGTCCACTAGCATCGAGTTTATTCCCGTTTGCAGATAAGTAGGATATTTTCTTTTCTGGAATTGTTCAGTTTGGCTAAATTAGTCACATTCTAAAATATTTAGTTCATTAAGGACTGAAAAGGTATATAAATAGGTAATAGTAATATAAACAAAAGAAAAATTTTACTTGTCAATCCAATCATGATAGCCGATATTAAAAAACCAAATTCAGGCAACAATCAAATGAAAAGAATATAGTTATATCTAATCTACTATAAGCTACCCTTATGAGACTACTTACACTGGTTTCCAAATATGATCCTTTGTTTTGCTAAAACGTGTCGTTTTGTTGGACCAGTGGACGATCAGCTTAATCCGCTTACATCGTAAACGTACGATCTTAGTCGCGCGCGCTGTAAATCATTGATCGAGCGATGCGATGCGATTTAACACACTCAGCGGGTTTACGGCCCTTACCAAGTGCGCTGTAAAGGGTTTTAGTGCTTTGTGTAGTGCTGCCTATAGTGAACTATGGATAGGTATACATTGATCTACCGTGATTAACACGTTTCCTCATGTTGCTTGTATTGTATCCGGATGCAGTTTGTAATGAAAATGTTGGATACAGCTGAGATAGGATTATGGACGAGTATATTATGCAAAGTTGCTTATTGATAGTAGTGCTGTTACTAGAATAATTGATATTTTTAATTAAGAATATCTTACATAATTATCATCTATACATATGTATATATTAATACGTGATTCAACTTTGTGCCTCTATTGAAGAAAATTAAAAAAAATATTACACAAACAGACGCATGTATACTCTTCTGTTTCTTGCCTGCGCGACTGTCAGTCTTTGATAATAGAAGTATATACCTTGGTACATAGGGTCTTTGACAATACAACTTTAATAATGTTCAAACTTATAATTTAATTTAATTTGGTAAAATAATTTAATATAATTATTGTAGAATTTCGATCACTAGGCGACCACTAGTAATTATAGAACGTAAAGAAAGCTCATGTTGATTGACATACTGAATTAGTACCTACCTATATTTATTTAATATCTATTTACTATAGTTTTTTATTATTTAACTGAAATAGCAAACAAGAGAAACTAACTTTAACTGAAATGTTTATGTTAATTGTTCCAGGTACACCAATAAATCGGCTGCCCATCATGGCGAAGTCAGTATTGGACTTGTACGAGTTGTACAACTTGGTGATCGCTCGGGGCGGTCTAGTCGAGGTCATCAACAAGAAGTTGTGGCAGGAGATCATCAAGGGGCTCCGATTGCCTTCCTCCATCACTTCTGCTGCATTTACATTACGTACACAGTCAGTACTATCGTTATTTAATTTTTTCTATTCTAACCTTTCTCTTACCTTTTCACGATTAAATGATTGATCGGATCTTAATGTAAATTGGTTGGCTTATATATATATAGATTCTTATAATATGTTAAATTAATCGTCAGTTCTGAGTGCTTTAGAGTTACGAAGAACTGATAAGAAACTCTGCTTATGATCACAAAAATACAGATAATTTTAAATTTTAATTGGTATGAAGATGTGACGCAAGCTGCGTCACGAGGAAGAACATTACCTAATTTTTGTTTAAAAAAAGCAGACGAAATTGCGGGTAACTGCTAGTTACTTATGTATCAGAAATCTTGGTAAATACCTACTTATATCAAATATTCAATGTACTTTGAGTGACATACAGTGACAATCTTTAGATGGGGCCATTACGTTTTAATACTTAAAATTTATGATGTGACTTCAAAGGAAGGAATTAGTCGATCATCAAAAGCAGTTACGCCTTCACGTATCCTAAAATCTATTTAATACCATCGTAAACCAAATAGGAGTATTAGATGTTATTGTGAGAGGATTGTCTGTGGTCCAGAGCGTTATATAGATACGTTATACAGTTCAATAGGGCATGTGTGGTCCAAGAACTAGTCAGAAGCTGTCGCTCCATATTCGACGTCATCTCTTTGTATCATTCCCTCATTCAAATTCTCACGACCGAGAGACAAAACGCTGTCCACAATAGATCGTACGTGCACGTCTGCGACAATGTGACAACTTCATAATTAATAACCTCTAACTCATCTCGATATAATTTCCCATTTATCTTCCTGGCGAGTTCCTTCACCTCTACGGCTTTTGTCATATGACATAAAGGTATCTCACATTTCTAATTCAAAATGTGCACCGTTACGCACGACGCGTTGATTTCAAACAGGGATGCCAACCGTATGAAGATCCTCGTATGAATACTTGATTTTTGTTATTCGGTACAAGAACATTTTCACCCTTACCCAAGTTTGTACGAGATTTTGACCTTTGAAAATCAGTTAAATTGGTACAATGTCGAGGTTAGCGAGCGTTGTGCTACTATACCCGATTTTATCATATTTTAGATTTCTTCGTATGAGCCTAAATGTTTTATGGTTGACAGCCCTGATTTCAAACAAGTCACCTATATTATTACAATAACTGAGTTAGTTTGGACCAGACACGAGTGACAATATCGGGAGCTCTCCACAATTACGTTGCTAGGTACCGTTCGAATACTAATATGTTATTTCTGAAGCGTCTATTTTCTATAACGTTCGTAATGTGCCGTAGTTTTGGGCGTTCGTAAATTTAGATGAGTGGTAATGACGAATGGCGTATTATTAGATTTCTACTATGACAGTTTTTCAAAAGGAAGCCAGGTTTTTATGCGTCGGCCCGCTCAAAGATTCTCATTGTGTTTTGTATTAAATATGTGAACGCTTAATATGAATTATGGTAACGAACAGTTGACAATATGTTCTTATAAAATCGACTCCACTCTAAAATAGGATTAAGAGTGTAATGGGATGCCCATTATATATTTGAAGGATACGCTTTTGATAATAATTGGTCTTGAAATATGATTTATAAGTTCTTCGTACGAGATGATCAGTGCGTTAACTTAATGACATCATTAGATCATTTGGAGCTTAGAAGATTGAATGGTGTCAACGTCTTATAATATTTTAATTTATTACAAAGACATATGGATACATGTTCAAATTGTTCGGATATGTTATTAGTCAGTATTCTTTGAGTATATCTTTACTATCAATGATTTGTATTACTTTCAAATTATAGTAATTATGTACCTTCTTTATTGAGATTATAATGTTAGAAATTTATTTAAGAATATAAAAAAATGTAAAATAATAAATTTCAGTATAATAAAATTTCAATGACAATATTACTAAAAATATAAATAAGGGATACCTATATAAAGAAAAATCTTGCTTAGATGCAATCGATTAACAGAGGTAGACTGTAAAATCTGTGTGAGTACCTCAGTCACACCTATTTCAGCTGGCTTTTAGGTAATATTGTTTCTGTGCAATTAGGCAGTTAACAGTTAACAGTTACAGATTTAGACATCTTAGTCCCCTAACTTGTCATATGATATTGTAAAGTTCGTAGTGCTGTTTATGGATGTATATGTATAGATGACGGTTACAGTTTAGTGATATATTAGCTGGTTTGCCATCGCAATTGGGTACATCTTTTATTTATTTATTTACAAAATTACATATATTCGCATTTTGTACGCAACTGGAATCTATTAGGTTCATGTATTATTCTATTAATTATATAAAAACTCGAAGATACATAATATAATACATTTTTACTCAGGCGAAGGTATAGTCAGGTTTATAACTAACGTACCTACATACCACGTTATAAACAAAACCTGACTTTGAAAACGTATGTTCTTTATACCATTCTCTATTCTACAACTATGTCTTATTCTTTCGCGACAATTGTTTTGAGTTCATCCCGAAGTGTATATCATTCCTATAGGTACTCGTACATTCTTAGTTTTTTGCCTTGCAATGCTGATATTCTATTATATTATAGCATGTGTATATTGTTTCAGATATATGAAGTATTTGTATGACTACGAGTGTGAGAAAAAGAACCTGTCGACACGTAGCGAGCTGGACGCAGCCATAGAAGGCAACAAGAGGGAGGGGCGGCGCGCCTCCGGCCAGTACGATGCGCAGGCGGCGCTTGCCATGGTCGGTCTGACAAATGTAATTTAAATAATACATACGTAGTCTATAAGTATCGATTATTACAGGTTTCAATCGCATTAAGGATACCTAACACAAATGCTACTGATCAGATCTTAATTAAATTTATATGGGACCAAACAAAGAGCACCATCCTTAAAAAATAAAAATATTAAAATGCGGTCGCTTTGCGATAAATTCTCGATGCGATGCGATGTTTTTATTTTACTACTCTTGATGATTGTTCTAAAGACACAAAAATCAGCATTCAGTTTCGTATCAAACTTCGAGGAGGAAAAGTACTGTGCTAGGTATAGCTTAAAAAAAGCTTCTTACGTTGAAGTACAAAAATGCTTATAAAATTGCTTTAATCCGCAGCCGCCTCTCAACCGTGGGGTCCCAGCATCACTAGCCCAGCTGTCACAGCATATGCAGCCTCTCTCGCTCTCCCTGGGCGGAGGAGGCGTTCCTCGACTGCCGCCCCTCCCGCCGCACGCCCCTCACATCTCCCAGCATGACATCGAGTACCGCGTGAGGGAGTACATGAAGATGATACAGCAACAGAGGGAACTTATGAGGAATGGTGAGTTATTACATCTGACTTTATTTTATATATTTTTTATAGTATAGGGGATAAACGAGCTTGCGGCTCATATTGGTAACTATTACCACCGCCCACCAAGGGAATTGCAAATGTGTTGTCTTATGAGAAGGAATAAGCTTAAATTCTTGAAGGTTTCAATATCGTATCGATTAGGAAAATATACTGCTGGTTGCGCGTTACAAAGTTTCTGGAAAAACACAGGGGACCGCCGTTCATCCAGACCATCGATTTTGTATTTTAGTTTCTGTCGGATAGTGCGATGGTGACTTATGACTTAATTTTAAATTTAAAAATCGCACTCAAAGTGAATATACATAGAGACTTTATAAAATCATTAAAATAGTAGGTATAGTTGTATAACATTTGTTTGAGCAACAGGCAAATTCTCGTTCATTCGTCTTAAGCTGGTGTGCATTTCGAATCAGTGGTAGTATCAAAACAACTATAAAAATGCTTATATAATCAGTTGTCTATACTCCTAGCTCTGCTTATTATAAAATAGATAGTCGTGTATTATTTTGATTAAAAAGAATAATTCAGCAACATAACTTATACCTCTCTATCTGAAACTTTATAAAGACAGAGTTTAAGTTACTAAAAATCTAGTTGCATTGAGAAAACCTCCTTTTGGAATACTGACAATGTTAATGTTGACTGCTTCGCTTACGTGACTAGTCCTTTCCCCTCCAGGGTCGGAGTCCCCGCCGGGCGCCAACGGATCGGCGCCGATCATGTCCCCACGCGACGCAGCCGCTCTCAGTGCCATGGACGTGTCCCGACTCACACTCTGGTCACTATACAACAACAATAACAACAACAGCCCGCAACCCGATTTGGAGCCCCAACGGTGAGATACTAGACTTTATATCTCTTTTAACCTCAAAGTATTTCTACAAGTACTTTACAAAACTGACTAATAAATTTACTTATTACTAGAAATTACATTGAGCAGAATAATATTGATAATAATAATAGAAACCACACGTTTATTAATAAAACTATTACTAATTAGACAAAATGGTCTTCGACTTCGTGAGAGCCTAATCCAACCTCTCAGTTATTCTGTATTATGTGAAGTTAGTAATAGTTAAAATAGACTTGTTGGAGGTTTTATGGTAGTTTCTATGAACAAGGGCCCAACTTTAGCATTTCTTAAACGTATGATAACAACATATAAAAAAGGTCTTAATTAATAAGGAATTGAGGAATTAATATTGAATTGATTGATTCTATTCAACAGAGAGGCGCTAAATTTGAGCGAAAGTCCAAACTCGAGTATGAGCGGAGGCAAGCGTGAAGCGTGTCGCTCGCCGCCCCCGCCCGCCAAGCGGCGCCCCATGCGGCCGCCGTCGCCGTCGGGCCGCGGCAGTCCGCCGCACACACCGCACACGCCCGGCGCGCCCACCGCGCCCAGGGACTGCCTGCCCACACCGCAGCTCAACGGCAACGGGCCCACAAACGGTGTTAATGGGGCCGCTTTCAAAATCACAACCAGAGGTAAATATTCCAGAAGTAAAGAAATAAAAAAAATGTAATTTCGATAGTAAACATTCTGGCTGCCCATCTGATGGTAGGTGGTGACCGTCGTCTATAAACACGAATAGCACTACGGACATCGCGTTATCATGTGACATCTGTGATACTTACCACTTATGCGTTACTATTACCAGAGGACTAAGATGTCATACCTTTTATGCTTTAATTTCACTGCCCAATCTCATTCTACAACTGAAACACTAGATACTTATAATTCAATGTGCTTCATGGTTGAAATCGTAGAGAAAATGTTACTTAACAATCATGGAAGTTTTAGTATGGATCTGGTACCAACCGAATGTATAATGAGTAACTACATACATAATGATTTTTGGACTAATAGCAATTGAAATTATAATTTATAGACTTCAGTCAGATTTTTTTACTTTTCCACTTTTGAAGTAGCGATATTTATAGAAAAAATAACTTACGTGTGAATTGTGTCAAACTGAGAACCCATCTTTTTGGAAGTTGGTTGTAAATACTCTACTGACATAGTGTTTTCTTTTCGTTTCAGGAGACGCAAACACAGGCGATCAACAGCTAGTGGTCTCGATAGAACTAAACGGAGTCACATACGAAGGCATCCTGTTCCCATCACAAAATGGCAGTACCCAGAATGGCCACAGGCAAATGGTGTCCTAAATTTGAGGCAATAACATTTATATATTAAGATTACGTTTTCAAGTCCCGAGTCATTATAATACGGCGTGGGGAAACTTCAGAAAGAAGCAGTTTGTTAACGAATTGTCCATGTTTGTGACGAAATACACGCGGGAGAATGTGATGTTCGATTAATAATTTAGTCTGTGGTAAGAGAAAATCTTTTTACCTCCATTTTTCCCCGCCCTCCTCTCGAGCATAGGCAAGTTATTCGTCATCGATCTGCTAATCGATCAGGTTAGGTTTATATCTGAGGCATAGGTTGTGCTAGATAACATATAAGTACCCATTTTCTATTTTTATTAAATTATCTAAATTAAATTAGCGAAAAAACATGTAGGTCCAAAACATCGGCCTACTAACTGGGTACTAAATTACCTAAATATCATATGTACGATAGAGACTATTTTTAAAAAAGTAGTATTATTGTCTATGTTTACAATTAGATATAAACCCAGCCCATGTACCATCAGTAAAGTGGTTTATATATTTTGATCTCAAAAACCTTTATAGGGTGTTTTGGGAGTGGAAACCGTATGCAGCTATAATATTTTGTAATTTAAAAAAACTCAAATTTGAATTAAGTACAAACTCATCGTTACATGGTCATTTGAAATTTATCATTATTATGTACTTAGTAGATTCGTTTATATGTGATTAAGTTTCATTTTGTACTTTAAAGTATTTATAGTTTATAGATATTATAATTTTTTTACGTCACTGCCGTAGAAAGAACGCGAAGTTATTTGAAACAAAATAATTTTTCACTTGTTCTTCAGTGGATGTTTTTGTACAATAATTTAATAATTTTTTTAACGCGTCAAGTTATGTAAATATAGTTTTTACGTTATGTATTTATAATTCGATATGTTTGACGTATGTGTGATAATTAATCAGTGTTTGTCTGATTTTTATGTGCTTGTGTTGTAAATTTATGTAAATAAAAAAATTGCGTAATAATTATCTATTATTAGAGCATTTTTACACCGTCATGTCTGTTTGTGATTTTTGATATTTTAAAAGGTGTATATTTTAATTGTCGACTACGTTGTCAGTATTGTATTTAGATTTAGGTATTTATAATATAGATTCAGCTGCATTCAGGCGCATTCTTCTTACGATTATTACTAATGTGGCATCAAACCTTATATTTTTTTGTCCACTAAACAGGGCTCATGAAAAAGCAGCTGAACGAAAGATGTTTACGAGATATAAGAACGCTTATTATAAAGCGTGGATATTATATAGAAATACACAAAAAAAACTGATTATCACTTTCAATTTTTTTTACTCAATTAATATATATTCTTATTCTATGGTTATTATCATCACAATGAGTTATTTTAGCAATCTCGAATATTAGCAATAGTTTGATTTGAATAATTCTCTACATTATCTATGTTATTTCCGTCTGTCGTTGTAATGGTAGTTTTTCTTAATAATATACAGTTAATTATAGCATAGATAAAACTAATGCCATTTCCCTATTATAAGTTAGTGTTTATTTAGTTGCATTGCTTTAGAACGATTGTCGAAATGAGACCGAGTAAAAGTACCATGTTTTTTTTATATTTTACTTATGGCACAAGTTTTAAAATCATGCATACAATTTAAATTTGTCGGTAATAATTTTGTTAAACATATCAATAAAATAAAATTTAGTGCAATAAGCAATATCCAAATTATTATAACTAATCTCCAGTTTTACAAACTCTGGTATCGTAGTTTTGTAAAATAATAATAATTTAAAAAAATGCTTTGTAAATGACTGATTTACTGTTTTTATAATTTAGTTAAATTAATGTATTTAATTTTAATGTGTAAAAATGAGTTTACGTGATTAGAAATGCATAATTTGATTTAAGTAGACGTAGAAATAGTACATTCCTGATGATGTACAATATATTAAGAGAACAATTTGCGACTGGCCTACATATGTAAGGGTAGGACGTGGCCAGGAGATTGCGCGTTAGCGAATTTCGTATTACACCAAAAATTTTGATGTATTCAAATAATTATATATAAATAAATAATTATGTATAACAATAACAGACTTATCATTTCATCATCGTATGTATGTATAGTATATCCTGGTCTGATGGTAGTCTAGTGGTCACTGTTCGACGACCAAACCGCGACTGAACAGAACACTAGGCTTTCAAGCTATACCCGATTTTATTCAATGCCTGGTGATGCCTCGTTATAATTGTGGTTTCACACGTTTTATGATAGCAGGATTAAGCAGGGCTTCTGCCATTTGGAGATTATCAGCCCTTTTGCAGTTGATAGAGATATGTGAGTAGAGCCAAAAGGTTTGTTTTTCCTAAAATACGGTACGTAACGCATGCGTATTGTAATTCTGTTCAACTGACAGAATGCGTATTTATTTTTATTATCCTCTAATGGATAGAATACAAAAGTTATTAGCACATTTTGCCGATATAACACTATGCGACATTTCCTTTTCACTGGTGGCATTAGCTAAGTACTATAGGTATCTACATACTATTTCATCATCCTCAAAAAGTATTGTACAGGAATACCTTGCCTCCTGTTGTGAAACCTCTTTAGTTTAACTTTTTATATTTAAAAAATAATGTGCTATGAAATTTTGATAGTTCGTTCCTCAGTTATTTTAAAAAAGTGCTATTATATTTTCTTGATTTACTAAAATATTTTATTTCTTTATATAATAGAAAATATATATAATTAGTAAAGTGATCGATAAAAATGAATTGCTGTTCGTTAGTCTCTCTAAAACTCAAGAACGGCTGAACCGATGGCTAATTTTAATCTTGAAATATTCGTGGAAGTCCAGGGAAGGTTTAAACTAAACTGTGAGAGGTGATAAAATAAACTGTGAAAAAATGTATAAAATTAAAATTTTATGAAATTTATAATGAGGGAAATATGTATTTTTTAAATATTGAGGGAATAAAATTTTTTAAATATGTTAGTGGAATAAAATTATATACAGAAATTAACTAACAGTGACATCTATTTATAAATTCGCCACATCACCCAACATCATATTCTATAGAGCGCCATCTATCTACTTACTACGTTATTACAACCATGGAACAAATTTCACTACTAATACTTTTACTACGTATTCATAGATGGCGCTATTTAAAATTTACTTTTTCGTTATTAATGTTTATTATAAAATATAAATGGAATAGGACAGTAACCTAAAAATAATTAATATAATATATAATGATGATAAGGTCAGGTCTATTGTAGGAAATTCGTCAGGACACAACAATGATAGTATGAATAGGGGCAGCTGCGTGGTAGGTAGTTTATCACTCTGCTGGTATCTCATAGGTACCCTATGGGTATAACCCATAGGCTACCATGGGTACTCTACATTATAATTGATTTATTCCTTAAAATCATATTAATATCTACTACATAAATTACTGAAGACATAACAATAAATGCAAATAAAAAAAATATGTAAACAAAGTGTACAGATATGGTTAACCTAATGTAAAATGTTTGCTATAAATATCATCGGTAGGCTATAATGAAAAGGATCCTATGGATTTCAGTAAAAAAATATTATTTATATTTATAAAAAATCTTATATATCGTCCTGCATAACATATACATCGTACTTCTTAAAACTTTCTTAATGTGTAAGAATATACTATGAGTGTACATACACTCATAGTATATTGTATACCTAATGCACACATGTGCATTATACAATATTTCCGCTATTAATGACTGAACGAATTTCGGAGTACTTTGTTAGGATTGAGCATGACGTCAAGTCAGTTAGCCTATCGTGGCAAAAACACGTGAATTTATCAAGGTGGTTTCTCGGAAGACCCGCCTGTAGGAGCTGACATGCTACATTTAATGCTAGCGTTGGACTCACTAATTCCCATTACTAACAATCTCTTCTTGACCCCAATAGAAAATGTAATTCGAAACATTAGATTTGTCTCCCTGATTTGGATTTATAACGACCGACCTGAAAAGGCAGCGCATTAGAGTTTTCGGCGGTCAATGTTGTGAGATGAGGGGACGATAGGGGACAGAGGGAGGCGAAGGGGACTTATCTACAATGTACCTGTCTATACATATATCATGTCAGGTCATGCACGATACGACTTCTTTGTTATCAGTTTATTATTTTTATGCTAATCATACTTTATCTAGAATACATTACAGACATTAACAAATATAGTGCGTTTGAAGTATATAGTGTTAATTTAATGGGCGTTAATGAAATAATATATATTAACATGTATATAGGCGACGGTTAAAGTTTATAATCAGGTCAGGGCCATCACCATGTTTGCCAGTTCAATTATATAAAAAGAAACAAAAAAACTTGCATTAAACAGTAATCATAACTAAACTGTTGTATTGGTCTGAATTGAAATGAAATATGTGTATTTCACCGCTTTACGTCCGATGGTCGCGGGTTCGATTCCTCGCACGGCACAAACATTTGTATTCATGAGTATAATTGTTTGTATCGGTCTGGATGTTTTCTAAGTATAATATGTATGTATTTACGAAAAAAATTATCTATGTATATGTATTAGTAATCAAGTACCCATAACACAAGCTTTAGCTAGCTTAACTTGGGTATAGATGGCGCTGTGTGAATTGTCCTGAGATTATTATTATTATTATGTGAATATAGGATAGCTAAACAATCACTCGGTCGGCCTAGAGATTGTGTAGCTTATTTTTCGTCTCAGTAAAAGCATACGAAGAAGGCAATTTACTATGATGGTTTCCAGAAGGAATAGAGTGGAGGGCAACCTAACACGGTACGTTGTTAAAAATGGGGTTGGTCCACATTTAAACCTGCACTCCACTATTTAATTGTGTTTCCGTATGCTCTTATACTGCAGCCCGCAGCTGAACTTTACAGCTTCACTGGACGATAGGGACGCAGATGGCACTCCAAACTAAAGAAAGGACTTATGGAGCGGCTGAAGGTCAACTGCCGCCTGACGGATACGACTTTAGTCTGACGGCACCGCTAGGGATTCGAGCCTCGGCTCAAGCCGTCGTAATTTCGATTATGCATTTGTCTAGTTAGCTGTTACTTACGACTTTGATTTTTTTAGATAAAAGATAGCCTAGGTATATCGTCGTACAGTCTATATTCTCGTCAAGTTAGTCAGCACCATTAGTCTGTAAGTACCTACTGTTTAATCTTGAAAAGACAGCAAACAGACAGACACACATTCGCATTAATAATTATTAGTATGGTAATGGATTAGTACGGAATATGTATGTAGGTACCTAGACAAACAACACAAGACATTTTTAGAGTTATGTCAAATTTGAGTTTGTGTGTCAAATGACAAATTGTGTAACTATATAATTAGTAACACCACAACACAAAAATGATTATCCACATCTGAAACCGTATACAATTGTGTGGACCACTAAAATGAACAATAACTAGAGAATAATATGTTCCTATGTAATAAAACATAGCTTTTATTACTTCGAATTAAGGTTGTATTTACTTCATAGAGACTTAACCAAGCGTGAAAGGATAATGTAAGCAATTGTTTAAAGATATGGCGAGTGTCTTGACAGTTGAAATCTGCGAACAATGTCACTATGTTAGTTTACGAGGCGTATTTAATCGATGTTTTTTGGTCTAGAACATTCTGTCAATCATTCTATATTAACATTTATACATGCTTGTTTTTACAATGTGTGTTAGAATTAATTATTTATACTGTTTCTAATTGGCGACCTTCAACAGCTCACATGATTATTACAAATGTGAAAGTTTAGAAATAAATATCTATGTTGTTATTACATAAACAACTGGAATGGTAAACAAGCTAATAGTAAACTGTAATTGTCGCATATGTCGTATACATGAACAGCATTACAAACATCACGTTATCATGTGACATTCATACCACATGCATTGCCATTACAGAGGTCTTGCCTTTGAAGATGGCATGTCTTTTATGCTGTAATTTCAATAAACCTACAACCGAAACAAACCCAAGTTGCTTGGGGACAGAAATAGACGAGACTGAGACACAGATGAATTTTTGCAGTCTACATATGGTGGACACTTAGATAAGTGGTTGAAATATCCTTACAAAATATCTAAATTTGTAGTATTTGTAGTTTGTGTTTTACTTTAAGTTCACAGCACAGTAAAAGCTACTTCTAACTTCTACTTCATTAGATATTAATTCCCGATTTTTCCACAAATGCT